GAAACCATCCCTGCTCAGTGGAATCAAGTTCTGCTCAAAACAGTGCGAGTGTGCCTGAATTTAAGCCACTGCAGATCAGGTGTGTGATATGACTTCTGAGCAAACTTCAAGAGTCTGATCCTTTAGAAGCTGTCACACCCAGCCTGCACATCACCTTGCACAGGATCATTCTTCAACAGGAAGAAAAATGTGCTACAGGATGTACGCAGGAGAGGGGTAACTTTGTAGGAAGGTAGAGCAGTATAAATGAATAATTCTCAGGGTCTAATATAGGTCTGAGGGCCAGGAATTGGGTATGTGACTGGGACACTGAACCTGCATGTAAAGTGTGCACAAGAATGAATGTGAATATGAGTGTGGGTACGTGTGAGTGCAAACACATGTGAGCATGTATTAGAGTGGGTGCAAGCATCATGAGAGTGAGGATGAGCATGCCTGAGCAGTGTGAGAGTGTGTCCAGCTGTCGTGTAGACAGTAGTGTCGATAGAGACAGCCAAGTGCAAAAAAGAACTCCATGTAGATTATGGTACAGACAGTGCAGGTTCAGTTTTATCTACCAAACACTGACAAGCCCAGCCAACAGGCCTGGTCAATAAAGATGTCTGGACTTCGGTAGACAAAGTATCAATCTCAGGTAATCAGGTTAACTTTTTGACCCAATGAGCAGATGTTTTGGTATCACAGATAAGGTTCCAGTGTCACAATCTGTACAAGAAATTTTTGCTGATCCTGCAAAACTCAACTAAAGCTCAAAAGCCCCTAGGATCCCATAATTTCCACTTTGTTATCCATCCTTGCCCCAACGCACACACATTCTCCCCTCTCCCTCCTCCCCTGCCCAGCCCCCATTAGCTTCAAATGATACAGAGAGCAGAGATGGTAGGGAATTTTTCCCTGGTTCTACTCCATGGATGTCTGAAAACCTGTTTAAAAGTGGGAGGTAGTTTGGACAACAGGTCGCCCTCATTTCCCTCTGGACCTGTTAGCTAACTTGAAAAACACCACTTATCCCTCTGGTTTCTCAGTTGGCATCCCTCTGGCAAAGGGGAAAAAAATTATCACCTGTCATTATTTGTCTCCTCTTTAACTTATTTCCAGACAAGACCTCTTTTCACACATCAGGACACATAAACTGTTTCAATAACCAGCCAACAAGAGCTGCTAATCCACCACTAGAAAGGGCAAATGGAAACTTGGAGAACAAGTTAAAGCAATTTTGGGTGTGCCAGCAGTGCTTCAGGGTTTCAAAAGCAAATGAGAGGAGTGGATAGAGGACCACCTGTTATTCCCTAGGCCCCTGATTGCTGGGCAAGAGGGCAGAGAAATCTGGGTCACACCTTCAAAGAGAAGCATTTTCTACCTGCAGTTTACCACCATTCCCTCCAGGTGGGTCCCCCCCTCCCCGAAAAGTGACGTGCCCACACCTGACAACAGGTGCACAATGCCTGGGAACCTGTCCTGGTCACAAAATTCCAGGTTGATTGGATCAGAGTTTGCATATATATTTGCCTCTGGATCATCAGCAGAAGGCAGAGTTTCAGGAAAAGAAATTCCTGGTCTTCAAAAATTCATACTGTGATTTCTGAGGTGGGAGTAAGAGAAAAACATGTTTTGGAGTCCAAAATCATAGTAAAGGCTGCTGAGTAGAAATATAAAGCACCCAGTTATGGTGAATAAAGTTATTGAGGTACAATGAATAGCATTTGGCATTCAAGATGAAATCAGAAGGCTGCCTATCATTCAGCCTTTCACCCAAGGTAGCACTATAACCCCTCACACCCTGAGCTAGGAAATTCCCCATGCTCTCTGGAAAAGCTAAGAGAAAGGCCAGACCTTTTCAGAAGTGCTAGCTTCAATGCGTATGTCTTCTGAAAGATATTCTGATCCTCTGGAAAGTGAAAACAGCCTTCAGCTGAGATTAACCATGTAATAGAAATAAACTCTTGTCTACTGCCATTGCCAGAACAAGATGTCTGTATGAGACTCCAAAGAGATGCACACGAAAATGTACCTGAAATGAACCTGTTCCAGCCCACCTGCCTTTGGAGATACCACCCAGGTGCCTATCTCAAGCAACTCAACCTAATATAAAATTGTTACAAAAGAAACTGTCTGGGGGCTGGAGGTGTGGCTCAGTGGTAGAGCGCTTGCCTAGCATTGGGTTCAATCCCCAGTACCGCATAACCACTAAAAATATTAAAATGACAACTAAAAAAAAATCTTAAAACAACTAAACAAAAAAACTTTTTAAAGAAACTGACTGCTTGGCCCAGAGCATGGTTTTCATTTTAATTCATACATCAAATTACACCTTAGTACACTGACCACACTAATATTGCAATGTCCTATCCTAACTAAGGCTCACAGGTTGCTCATACATAAATGGGCCACAACCACATCTACAGGTTTCAGAGCCCTGTCATAGAATCACATCACTCCTTTTCCTGGCCTAGTGGTGGGTACTGAGTTAATTTGATGGCATCCTTAACAATCTGAATGAATCACAGAATAAAATGTTTTGCTTATTCAGACAAAAGCTACACTCAGCAGCTCTGTTCACTATCTTTGGGGATTAATCAGGAAGTTTTGGATGACATGAATATTATGTTCCCAAGAGGAGTGATGATCTATGGGAAGTACCTCAAAAACTTGTTTTTTAAGATGTCCATGGAAATAATAGTGGGAGTGACTCAGATTCACAGTCCAATCTATAAAATCCTTGCCTATATATTCCCCAGCAGAGACACTTGAAGAGAAATATTAGTTGTGACTGACACAGGACCTTGGTCAGAGTCATTACTCATTAAAAAGTAATAAAACTGGGGACACATAAGGATTCAAAGGTCTGCTGAAAGTAGCAAGAGTTCTAGAAAAATCTCAAGGCAAGACTTACCACTTTGGGCTTCTGCTGGTCCAGGGTATGCAGGAATGCCGCGTTAGGGTCCAAGGTGCGCTCAGGGTCACTGGAAATGTCCTCTTCTGAGTCTTCATAGGAAGAAGAGAAGCCCGTGGAGGAGGCAGAGGAAGAGGACAGTTTCCTCAGAGGCAGGTTGCCCCGAGGGCTTCCCTGCACCTCCTCCAAGCCCCTGTCTTCCTGGGCACCCACATCCGTAATGATGACTGCAGGTATAGCTGGTATGTTGCTGGCACTGCAGGTCTCTCCCAGAGAAGGTTTGTCCTCTTGATTCTGGGGCAGCCACTCCCTGTTGGGGTGAGCATCTCTGTCCTGCAGCTGACTTTCCCAAGTCCCCTCCGATTGTACCCCTGTTCCACACGTCCAAGCCAGACCAGCTTTCTCCATGGGGCCCAGCCAAGCCCTGGAGCTCCCAGGCTGCACATCCACTCTGTCCCCAGGAAGGCACTGCTGTTCTTTCAGATCTTTTGCCATTTCCCAACAGGGCAAAGGCTCCAGCATTCTGCCAGAAGAAATTCCCGCCTCCACTTCTCCAGTCCCTGGCTGCACTGTGCAGCTGACACCAAGCAAGCCCAGTGTTGAAGACCCTTCCCCCACTCTGCCAGAGAGCTGCGGGCATTCATGGATCACTGAGACCTCACTTTGGGTCTCTGCAGGACCTAGAGAGCCCAGGTCTCCAGAAGGCCTGGATGAGCTCAGGGCTTCAGATGGCTCTGAGCTTTGAGCATTCACAGTCGCATCCTCTGGCCTTTCACCGACTTCTGGCTCTCTGGAGCCTGGCAGGCCACAGGGCAGATTTCCCTTCCCCAACTTCCCAGGTGGCTCTCCACCTTGGGACCCGCTCTGCTCTGGGGTTGGGCTTGTCTCACTGCCCAGGAACTGCCCCTGCCTCTCAACCAGGGCCTCCCAGGGGTGCAGGCTTCCAAGCTTGCAGACTGGATCAACCAGAGCAGGATCCTGTGGACGGTGTGGTCCAGTGGATGTGGCTGTCGCAGTCACTGCTGTGTTCATCATTAAACTCGTTCCCACCAGCTCCTCTGGGGGAGTTTGGCAGCTCTGAGTTCCCGAAGAAGCGACCCTCTTGTTAGTTTCCATAGCTAAAAATGAGTCACAAGGGGTACTAGCAGGGGTCCCTTTCTCCATCCTCACGGAATCCTTTGCACTCTGAGCCCCAGATCCTGTCGTGGTGGCCTGGCCAGGAAGAGGTGCCACTCCCTCCTTGTCCTTTGAGGGGCACAGACTGAGCCCTCCTCTTCTCACAGAGTGGGCATCTGAAGCCTCTGAATATTGCTCCCCCCAAGATTTTGTCCTTCGTTCCTCACTTGGGACGCATTGAGCCAAGACCCTTCCAGGGGGCTGGCTGCTGCTGCGGAAAGGGCTCGGGGAGGGCGAGCGAGCCCTGCTCAAACGTGGGCTTCGGGGCGCCTGAATGGCACAGCTCTGCGCCTGAATGTGCGCCTCGAAAATGCCCACTTTCTGGTTCACCTGCACGTTCTGCAATTCGCGTTGCAGAATTCGCAGCTTCCTTTGGGCCTCCTCCGGTCCCGGCGGAGAAAGGGTACCGGCGGCCACCACCTGCTGCCCATCACCTCGCAGGCGGCCCGCCCAACTAGGGCTGCCCACGCTACTGCTGCTGCTGCTACTACTGCTGCCACCGCCGCTGCCGCTGCTACTATTCAGCCTGCGCCGGCCGCTCCGCCAGCTCCCGGGACTCCGGGGCTCCTCTGGCGACAGCGACTCGGCGGGGGGGAAGAGGAAAGAAGCCCCTCTCCCGGGGCTGAAAACGCTGCCCGGGCTAAGCACGGCCCTCCCAGGGGGCAGGGGCGTCTCGCTGCCGCTGGGCCCCGGGCCGCCGCCGCTCTTCACCTCGTCGGCACTATTCATGATCACCAGGCTATTGAGTGCATAGCAGTACACAGCCATAGTACTGGGTCCGCCGCGCTGCCTGCCTCCGCGACTCGGGTTCCAGCTCCGCCGCTGGCGCCTCCTCCTCCCGCGGCTCCTGGATCAGCCCCGGAGGCCCGGCGGCAGCAGCTCCTCTAGCCGATGGGGCTGCATGGCCTCGGCGGCGGGCTGGGGGCACAACTGCGGGCTCGGCCCCCGCCCAAAGCTCCATAAACAACCGCGCTTCTGTGGAGACACAAGGAGAAAAGTCAGGACCCCAGAGGGCGCGAAGGAGAGAGTGGGGAGAGCCCGCCGGCAAAGCCCAGAGGGAGCCCTAGGACCCCAATCTGTTCGGGACCGGGTGCCATAGGACGTCTCACCTATAGGGACTACGAGGCTCCGGGGGAACCCATGCCCGGCTCCCTCAGAGTCAGCGCGGTTCTGGGTACGCGTTTCCCCGGTGTGCTTAACCCGCCCCCCTACTCTCGGGTTTGGACCGGCTTTGAAGTCCTTTCAAATTCCAAATTCTAAGATTAGTCTTGAAGCCGTGAGGATGGGCGAGGGAGGATGTGCAACTACTTGGTCCCCAAGGGTGCTGTGCGCGGAGCGCCGCTGACCCGTCACACTCGGCCTGAGCAACCACTGGCTATCGAGGGTAACGGCGCAGCCCTGCTCCACCCTCTCGGGACATCAGAGACCGAGTCAGGGGGAACCTGAGCAAGACCTGCCTTCCCCAAATAGCTGCCAGCGCCCGGATCTGGAGGGCGCCTGCGTACCTTCCTGACCCTGACCCTGGACTTGGGGCTGTGTCTCTCGGCCTACTAAGGCCTGAGAGAGCTGCCCGGCTGCAGCCCAAGCATTTTCAGCACTGGCCTTGTCGCCTGTCCCCAAACAAGTGTTTTTTGAGTGTGGGGCGCGCCTGCGCACGCCCGGGACAGGGACTCTGCAGTATATTGTACCGGAACCAATACTCACCGCCCCTCTGGTTGCCGCCCCCCGCGGTGGTGTGTGTGTGTGTGTGTGTGTGTGTGTGTGTACGCGCGCGCACAGCTACTCAACCCTCCGCGCGCCCCGTTACCGAGGACGCGCTGTGCCTGCGGGCTTCAGGACCCGCGCCCCTCCAAGGAACTCCGGGCTTTGAGTGGCTGCAGACGGGTGACTAGGTGCGCAAACCCGGAGGAAGGCAATCTAAGGGCGGCGATCTAAGCCCCGGGAGCAGTGCAGCGGAGGGCCGGGCCTCTCCTCATCCCGGGCAGCCTCGCCCGCCGCCAGCCGAGCCTCCCGGCGGCCCAAGCCCCGGTGCTCTGCAGCACGCCTGGGGGAGGTGGCGCGGAGAGAATAGCCCGGAAGGCGGGCTGAACAAACGCCGAAAATTCGTCTCTCCTTCTCCGGCCCCAGGTCCCACTCCAACGCCTCCCTCCAAAAATCAAAACCTCGTCACCGTCTCCCTAACGCACCCCTTTTCGCAGTTTCAGAACCCGGAATGGCAGATCCGCTCCAGAGCGTAGTGAGGGGAGAGAGGGCTCAGAGGCCAGAGCCATTGAAGAGCCGCCAAGCTTACCTGCAGTTTCTCAGATTCTCGGGTCCTGTGTGGACTACACGCCGACCCAAGTAGGGTCGAGATGCATTTAAGGCAGAAATGCTCAGAAATGATTTCCTCAACAATCTATGGAAGACAAAAAAAAAAAAAGTGCGAAAGAGCGAGGGGTTGGGGGAGGTCCGCCGCGCAAGGGCCAGGCTATCCCGGCGGTGGCGACGCCAGGCCGGCCCTGCACGCCCTTCTCCGCGGTGGAGATACTACCCCTGTCAGTGTCTGCTCCGCGCTACTTCAGTGTTTGTTCAATGTAAGATTAAAAAAAAAAAAAAAAAAGTTGGTGGCGGGGGTGGGGGGAGGAGGCAGAAGGCGGGGGCTAGGGGGAGGAAAGCAGGAAGGAAGTTGTGAGCCCGTCTGGGGTTGAACTCAGCGGAACAAGTTTTTCTTTTCTTTTTTTTTTTTTTTTTTTTCTATTGCTTGGCAAGACCGAGGGAGGGAAACACTTAAAAAAAAAAAAGTTTCCATTGTTAGCTAACCAAAAAAAAAAAAAAAAAGCCTTTTGACTTCTGCTGGTTAAAGATATACGATTCATTTTCCACCCCTCTCTCAAGGCTTGCTGATGGCTAGCTTTATGAAACTACTTTTGAAAAAAATGTTTTTTAATAAAGTATTGAGTGTGTGATCTAAACAAAGCAGCTCCTGAGGACTTTTTGGCATTTAAAATGGACTAAAAGCTTGTCAAAACGGTTTGTGTTCTTGTACACAAAATATGCAAATGTAAAGAAGGTACTTTGTGGGCACCTCCTTGCAAAGTTGCAGATTTTAAGTGCACCACAGTAGTATTTTGGAAGATTGGTTGGGCTGTGAACTGTACAGGCTTTGCAGTGCAATTGTTAGAGGTGTAAACTCGCCTTTTTGTTGCACTTTTATCTATAGATGCACACAGTAAATGGGATATTTGCATACTTTTGCACTTTAATTCTCAAGGTTATTTTAAGAAAAAGCATAGTCCTGGAATTAAGCAGACCTAAGCAATGGCTGAAAACCCCTTGAACAGTCTGTTATAGGACTGAATTATTTTCAAGAGATCTCTCCCCCACCATCAGCCGGAGGGGAAGGAACTGCCAGCCAACATTACTGGGAAGGGTATCCAACCCTGATTAGGCCCTGGCACTGCAAGTGTGTTTTGCATAATTCCTTAAATCTTAAACTACAGCATTTAGTGGAAACAGGGAAACACAGCTGCAAGGAGATTTAAAAATCCAAAGCCTGAATCGGTCCTTATATTCTGATTAACTAAAATTCAGATGGAAATTTTGACTTTGCTCGAAGCAAACAGATCTGCTACTTGTTTATGTAACAATGCTGTTTAAGTGAGCAAAGCAACCTGCTGCTCAATCAGGAAAAGATTCATGGCAATGCTGAAACCATGAAATCTTCTAGCCAAGGATTCTTAGGAAAACAGAGACTGTTGAATCCCTCCTAATTTTTAAAAACATGCCATGAAAGGATTGAACCTAATTCCCCTCCCACCCTCGGTGGGGCTAAAGAAAAAGCCCTGAGTTTATTTAGGTGTTAACTTAAGATCTGGGAAGTTCCTAAGAGAAGCCTGCCCTATCATTTTTTCCTAATTTTGCTCTCTAATGATAACAAAAAGGAGTTTTCAGATTCCAGGATACCCACTTATTGGAGTTCAGTCTGAGGGACTGTCATCCTACGAGAGGCTAACTTAATACCTATGTCAGGTGTCATGGTAGAAGCAACCGAAGGACCTAGCGACATATACAAGAGGCACAGAAACTTTGCTTCCCAACCCTTGGACAGTTAAATTTCCCAATCATTGTCACCTCACAGTCAGACATCTTCAGGCTTATCTACTTGAAAAACTCAGGCTTCCTGAATGAAGAATTCTTGGTCAGAACAGCCAGCAGCTGTCAGGTGTGACAAGGAATTTCTGCCTTGTATGGAGGTAGGACTTGATGGTAATTCTACCAGTCTGAAATTCTAATTGTGCCACCAAGAGCAGCAAGGGATGGGAGAAAGATGGAGCAAAACCCATGTTTGGAAGCCAGCAGGGTGGGCTTGCATCCTGCAACAGGATGCAAGTTGTCTTCCATGATTTTAAATGAACACAAACATTTTTATATACTGCTTATTATTTGCCAGACACTGTTCTAGGCACACTATCAATATTTGCACATTTTTATTCCCTTAACAATTATCAGGTAGGTATTACTACAAACCTCATTTTACAGAGGAATAAATAAAAGTACAAAGAGGTGAGCCATTTGTCTCCCACATCCTGCAGCTTTGGTAAGTGGCAAAACCAGGACTTGAGCCTGTGCAGCCTGGGTCCAGAATCCTTGCTTGTCACAACTTTTCCCTATACTAGTTATCTACAACTGTAGGAAAGTTTTCACTAATGTTTTAGGTTTTCCATGTGCCTACTTTTGGAATGGAATTTTATATATCAAAGCTATGAAATTGAGATTACGTACTTAACTTGTAAAAAGCATCTAGAAAAACCTACAGTCAACATCATACTTAAAAATGAAGGATTAAACACTCTCTAAGATCAGGAACAAGGTTAGAACATCTGCTCTTGCCTCTTTTATTCAACATTGTACTTGAAGTCCTAGCCAGTGTAATCAGAAAAGAAAAAGAGATACAAGGATTCCAAACTGGAAAGGAAGATGTAAAATTGTGTTTAGATGATGTAATTGTCTATACAGAAAATCCCATGAAATCTTAAAAAAAAAAACTACTAAAATTAGTAAGTTTAGCAAATGATTTGTTTTTCGAGGGCTGCCATAAGAAAGTAACACACACTGGGTGACTTAAACAACAAAATTTATTTTCTCACAGTTCCAGAGACAGAAAATATGGAGTTAAGGTATTGCTGGGGTTCATATATTTTAAGGCCTCTCTCGCTGGATTTTTTTTTTTTTTTTTTTTTTTTGTGGTGCTGGGGATTGAACCCAGGGCCGTGTGCATGTTGAGACACGCATTCAACCAACTGAGCTATATCCCCAATACTCTCCTTGGCTTTTCAATGACCATTTTTTCCCTGTATCTTCTTATGGCCTTCCTTCTGTACATCTTTACTTCATAACCTCTTCTTTTAGGATACAATCATATTGGATTAGGATCTACGCTGATCATCTCATTTAATCTTAATTGCCATTGTAAAACGCTGTTTCCAAATACAGTCACATTCTGAGGTGCTGGGCATTAGAACTACAACAGCCCATAACAACAAGTTTTCAGGACACAAGATCAATATACCAAAATTAATTCTATGCCTATGTACCAACCATGGAGAGTTAAAAAAAATATTTTAAAATCAACAATACCTTTACAATAACATAAAAACTTTGAAATCTATGTATAGGTTCAACATAATCACAATATCCCAGTAGTTTTTATTTTCTTTTATTTTTTGGTACCGGGTATTGAACTCAGGGGCACTTAACCACATCTCCAGCCCTCTTAAGTATTTACTTTAGAGACAGGGTCTTACTGAGCTGCTTAATGCCTTGCTAAATTGCTGTGGCTGGCTTTGAGCTCCTCCTACCTCAGCCTCCCAAGCCTCTGGGATTACAAGTGTGTGCCACCTGCCTGGCTTGGTTTTATTTTATAAACTTCTTAGAGAAATGCAAAAGATCTAGAGTAGTTAAAACAACTTTGAAAAAAAACATAGTGGAAGGGCTAATACTATCTGATGTTAAGACTTACTGTAAAGCTACAATAATCAAGACAATGTAATATTGGTGTAAAGTAGATCAATGGGATAGAGTCCAGAAATAGACATACATGTGAAAAAATTGATTTTTTTTACATAAGTGCAGAAAATGGAGAAATAATTTTTTTAACAAGTGGAGAAAGAATTCATTCTTTTAACAAATGGATGTTCATATGTAAAAACAAAGGAAAAAAATAAATAAAAGAAAAAACTTTTCTTTTGCATATTTTGTATCACGTATAAAAATTAACTCAAAATGTCTCCTCAATCTAAATGTAAAACCATAAAACTTTTATAAAAAAACAAGAGAAAAATCTCTGGAAACTTGGGTTAGACAAGTATTTATTAGAACACAAAAATTAATTGTACTACATGAAAATTTTAAAATTTCCTCCTCAAAAGATACTAAAAAGAGGGGCTGGGGTTGGGTTTGATTCTCAGTACCACATATAAGTAAATAAATAAAATAAAGGTCCATTGGCAACTAAAAAATATTTTTAAAAATATTGAAGAGAATGAAAATGGTCTGTGGGTTTATAGCTCAGTGATAGGTACTTATCCAGAATGCATGAGGTTCTGGGTTCAATTTCCAGACCAAAGAAAGAGAAAAAGAATGAAAAGACAGACCACAGCCTGGGAGAAAATTAATAGTCAAAAACTGTCCATCAAGAAGTGAATGGATAAAGGCTGGGGTTGTGCCTCAGTGGTAGAGCACTTGCCTATCATGTGTGAGGCACTGGGTTTCATTCTCAACACCACATATAAATAAATGAAAAATATAAAGGTCCATCAACAACTGAAAAAAATATTTTACAAAAAAAAAGTGAATGGATAAAAACAATTTGTAGTATAAAAGAAAAGTACTACTGATGTACATACAACATGATGTTGAGTTTCAGAACTCAAAATAATTAAGCTGAGTGAAAGAAATTAAGCTAGAAGAAACTACTCCTAAGAGAAACTATCTCCTGTATGATTTCATTAATAAGAAATTCTAGAAAATACAAACTAATCTATAGTTACAGAAAGCAATCTGGTGGCTAGCTGGAAATGAGGGGGTTCCTTGGGGAGGCGCAGAAAATAGGGAAAACAAAGAGGCACAAAAATACTTTTGGAGTTACTGGATATGTTCACTATTCTGATCATAAGGATGATTTCATGAGTATATAAATATGTGAAAACTTATCAAATTGTAAAATGTTAAATATGTGCAATTTACAATATATCAACTATAAATTAATAAAGATATTTTAAATTTTTTTTCTTTTTGTGGTGCTGAGGATCAAACAAAGGACAATGGCTCTGCCACTGGACTATACTCCCAGTATATTTTTTAAAAACATAGCTATGGACAATTATAGTCTTTGATGAGGATATTATTGTGACCTGATGTCAAACACAGTGCTTGTTATACAATATTAT